CTGGCCGCACTGCAGATCGTCGGCACGATTTTTAAAGTCGGCAATACTTCCCCCGCCGTCCCCTTCTCTTGCCGAAAAAATTTCAGCAGTGCGCATGCAAACAATAGTTTGAATGAGAGGACGGGAAGAGGATCCAAGTTATTTTACGATTTGTTCCAAACTTGTTTGGACTGATCATAACTGTTTTGGTGCAAGAAGTTTGCGTACAAGCTCAATTTTCATGTAATAGCAGAATTGTATTAGAAGGTTGCCACAGTGAGGTCAAGTTTTCTGCAATTCATTTGATCTTTGTTACTGGGATTGAGTTGCAAAAATCACAAGTGATCTATACTTTAAAGTTTGAATTCGAAATAAGCCAGAGTTAAGAAAACGTTTTGGAGGTGACTCGAAATTGTAAACTGCAGACGTCGTCAGCATCTCAAAGAACTTCCGGCATGCCGCTTTACTCCAAAACTGCTTTTTTCCTCAAAAGAATGGGAACTCACTGCTAGTGAAGTCATGCGCTAACCAGCCTAGCTAATTCTGTATGACTCAGCTTACTTTGGATCCCCTTTGTGCTGAGAACTCTCCCGAGAACGGAACATCCTCATCTGATTGGCTCTGAAAAGATTATGGCGTCTGGTTGTGGGAGATATGACCAGGATTTCTAAGAATAAACTTATAATAAAAATTGAAATAAACTCACTACTTCCATGCGTATTGGCATGGTTACGACTTTTGCTTTGCGCGCAGCAACTCTGTCCATTTTGCGTTCGTTGCGACGAGTACTACGTTTAGATTCTTGTCTCTCCTACAAATTGTCCACTCGTTTGCCTTTCATGGAAGGAATCATACATTACCGGTATCATTCTATCAACTAGTACGATCAGTTCCTCACTGGCTGACCCGCTTCCATCCTGGTGTTCTCCAGATGCGAAAGGGTCCTCCTCCTGTACTTTCATTGAAGTAAATTGAAGAAAAACTCAGGTGGATATCCCTTACATCTTCTTCTTTTTCTGCTAATTCAGTGCTTTCTTGAGTTATATCCAGCTTGAGCATTTTCTTTCGTTTCGCTCGCGTCACCTTGGCCGGTGGAGGCTTAGGTAATCTTTGTTCAGATTTAGATTTGCTACAATCTGCGGTTGGGACTGAAGACTGAAACGAAGGATGTAAAGTACAAGCCAAACCGCATTAGACGGAGTTACCGATTTCTTTGCTAGCGGCGGGGATTTTTTCTTTGATACCTCTTCACGTTGTTTATTAAGACTAGAAAGCTTGACATAAGTAGAAGTACAAGTAAAGATAAAGCATGAAATTCCTGTCATACAAAGCCTCTATATACACATGAAAGTAAAGTTGCAAAACAAGGAAACGGAGTCTATACAGCCTTCTACAGCCTTCTCCTCATTGAACATTTAACATCAACTAACTTTGGATATGCTATCTTCTCCTTGCTTGCTCCATATGGAGTTATGATGATATCTTTTGACAAATCTGAATGGATCATATCTATTGCATCTGATACGAGCTGCAGAAGAATCGTATGTTACAAAGCATACTAGCTTGGAGCTCATCGCGTTCTTTACTTCTTTCAAGATCCCGTAAGCGCTGTCGTTCCTCTTTCAGAGCTCTGGCTTTCTAAATTCTCTTTCGAAATTGAACGAAAATAATCCTCGAGGGTCGGGTACATCCGCTCTAGTATATATAAAAAGCACTTTTGCGATCAACGCATTATCTGACCCTCGTATCTATATTAATGGAGTTTTTGAACGCTATACTTTCTGTAGCTTCTGCTCAACATATTCACGATCAAGTCGCGTTTTCGATAACTACTTTCGAATAAAGCGTATTTCACATATGTGTCAGAATCACGACCTACCGAGGATTCTATAATTCGAAGTTTTGTGTTCAAGTAATCCAAATGGTATAAAATTTGCTTTACCAGAAAGTTTCCTCCTTAGCGAGCAAATTTGGAACATCGGGAAGCTAGTTGACATAAAGGCCTAAGAGTGCGCGTTCTATGAGCGTACTGTCCGAAAGTACTTTATTACACATGCTCGTCATATTCCGATATTTCGAGCGAAGTCTGCAGTGGGTCCTTGTATTCATTCTACTACATCAGACAATAGGAGCTTATGATAATGAGCTTCTGAATCTCAGACCTGTACAATTTTTTTCACTCATACATGTGACCAAAATGGATAGCAACATTCTTCTAACAAAGAAGTTAATAAGATGTAGACAATTTAAACACAATCGTTCTCAACTTCGGTGAGTGAATTAAGATTAGAAAATTTAGGGAAGGATACTGGTTCGATATTATCTTAGACATGGCGACATCATTCAAGCGAGACGTTAAGCGGTTATACGAATAGGCATGCGACAAGCAGGCTGAGGAACACCCTGTCTCACTAATAATGTCGTCTAAGCATGCTGTGCAAGCAAAAACTTCAAGAAATTTATTTTCTGTTATCGAAGCTTTTTT